ATCAAATTATTGATTTTTTCTTAAATTACAATAACTCCGCAATTAAGCATAGAACTTGACTTTGACTTTGAGAAAACGACACCTCTGACACAACTGATATATTGAATAATTGTGAAATATCCTTAACCTTAAAATAAACTTATTAAAATGGTAATTTTTAATGCTGCTTGAGTTGTTTTATTTTTTTATTCATTTAGGGATTCGATTCATACTTGGACACATCAACACTTATAACAAAACCAACATGTAATTTATATATCAAATTCTGTACACAACAATAATTTGTTCTTCAATACAATTTATTCTGTGCTAATCTATGTAAATGAAAAAATAAACAAGCGTAGCTCTTGTTTAAATTCATGAATGGAAGTTAAAAAACACATTTAGCAAAACATATGATATACATGTGCCTTGACATTTATTTGACAACAATATGATAAGGCTGTCTAACATTTTCATATTATCATATACCGATTTTAAACTTGGTATCAATATCTAATCACATTTGTTCTTAGATAAGGCTTATTATTATTGATACAAAGTTTCATAAATTGTATTGTAAATAGATAAGAAAACTCAGAGATGATCAACGAAACAAAAATCTGTACTTTACAAGTTAGTCAAGAAGATGTTGTTAGTAGATTAAGGCATAAATTCAAACAGTTTGCACATATTACAAAGTAACTTCAACCATATCACTGCGAAAAATATACTGATATACGGGAATATACGGTCCCGTATTTTTGACATATACGGGCGTGTACGGGATTATTTGTCGAATATACGGACCAAGTATACGAGTCCGTATAGGGAACACCGCGTATACGGGAAGTCCGTACATGCATCAGGCATATACGGTATTCCGTATTTGCCCTATATGCATGTACGTATATTTGTTCGTACTTTTGAAGTATACGGAGAATAAAATCCCGTATACGGACTTTATAAAGGTTGTTATCCCTAGTATACTATAAATATACCAAGGATATACGGGACCGTATTTTCTAAATATACAGAGGATATACGGACTCGTATTTTCTACGTATACAGAGGATGTACGGAACCGTATATTCTACATATACAGAGGATATACGGACTCGAATTTTCTACGTATACAGAGGATGTACGGAACCGTATATTCTACATATACAGAGGATATACGGACTCGTATTTCCACATATACAGATGATATACGGAATCGTATTTTCTACATATACAGAAGATATACGGAATCGTATTTTCTACATATACAGGGGATATACGGAATTGTATTTTCAATATATATAGGGGATATACGGAATTGCATTTTTAGTTGTCAACAGGGTATACAAAACTGTATTTTCGAGATAAAAGAAGGTACAGATAATATCAAAGCATGCATTTATACGTAAGCGGCCCGTCATGAAACATAATAATATACGTGACACGTGTACATGACCGAAATGCAGGCTCGTACAATAGAACATGTTTGATTACACATTGTGAATGGGAACTGTAAAGTCATATGCTTAAAAACTTTATCTTCACAATTGGAGTATTTCAAAAAATTAAGTAAAAACCAAATCGAGTCACTCTTAAATATTTATTATTTCATAAACATATATTCAACATGTATACAAATATTAAACAAAATAAACATGTCTTCGCTACGAATTTGAAATTCATCCCTATCCCCTATATTCTCCGGACTTGTACACCTCTGGCTTCGTGGTAGACGTTTTGGAAGCAATGAAGGTGTCATGCAGACGGTCAATGAGTTCTTTTGAGGACCAAACTAGAGAGTTCTATTTAGAAGGGTTAAACAAGTTGGAGAACAGGTTTGCAAATTTCACTGATGCAGCTAGCGATTATATTGAAAAGTAAGACCATTAGTTGGGTTCTCTGACTATCGGAAGTACATCGGGCCAAGAACTCTTTGATCAATCCTCGTATATTTTATCTAACATAGCATCTACGGCTTATTTTCTATTTTAAAAATAAAAGAAAGTTTAGTGTAAGCTACAAAATCGATAAAATTATTAAAAATGGGGTGATATAACTGTAAATAAACAATTATTTTTCTTCAACATCATTCAATCATTTACTACATGGCCAAACCATGTTAGCTTTGTTGTATGCATAAATTCGAAATTGCCCTAAAATAAAGTTACTGTTTCATTTTGTTCAGATTGGTTCTCTTGAATTTAGGACATTTTGTTTAGACAGTTTTAAATATATTAAAGAAACTAAACTAAGTGTTTACCTTAACAAAATAAATAGCCATGATAGATGATTTGATATGGTATAGGTTGACATATGTGCTTAAACAAAATCATGATTGTTTATCTCACAAAATTCAGCGACATGTGATCTCCAAAATTAAATATGTAAATAGTTTAAAGTCATTTATCGTATGTTAAAAACATTTAATTGTTTATACCAACAGTCTTCTTTATCTATAATTGTAAATATGATAGAAATGTTGCAATGTATTTCAAATATATTTAGTGCTGTAAAATACTAAATTTGTTTTGTTGTTTCTAAATTGTTATAGATTTATCACGACGAGGATGATACAATCATTGAATTAAATGTTTGAGGCAAGATATTCAGCTTATTCAAAAGTACACTTTCGAGGGAAAAGAATAGTCTTCTAGCCGAAATGATCAATTCAAAAATTGTAACAAAAGTGGACAACTATGGCAGATGTTTTATTGATTGCAATCCAGATTTCTTCTGCAATATTCTTGAATGCCTAAGATTTGGAAAATATCCTCTTCCTGAAAAAGCCATTGATGTCTATGATTACGCAAGGATGTTTCTTCTTGGGGGATTTATGGCGTCTTTGGAACAATTCAAAGATGTGCAACATAAAGTACAAGCTGATCATTCTAAGAATTCCTTTGACAATGAATGTACAAACAGTTATTACAAGATATTTTAGGAAGGCTGACCATCTTAAATGAATCTGGATATCAAAGATATATTTGTATTGCAACTGTTAAAATTATTTCTGGATGCAATCCCGATTATTGGTCAAGTTAAATGGGTCCTTTATTTAAAAAATGCCAGTTTTAAATGGCACTATGTATTTTTACCATCTTTCCCTCTAGTGTGTAGAGTTCATAATGTTACATAACACCCCTGTGTGTACTCAACTGAGGTTTATTTCATTGAACTAAGCTGTGTAGCAATTATTTCAAATATCAAATTTGAGCATGACATATCTTTAACAAATTGATATTCTGTATTATAAGGTGCATAAATAACACAAACTCTAAACATGTATAGAAAATAATTCTTATTATTCATTTGTTTTATTTCTCCATCGAACATGAGATATTTTGCGTCCAAAGACTGATTATGTTTTTATTCGTTTGTTTTTATTTTAGCAGATTCGTCTTTTTCTTAAGTTGCGATGTAATGATTTAACTTATGGAAAATAGCAAATATACGAGTAAGGTTGCCGGAAAAACTTAATTGTCATTCCTGTCAATATGTAACATTTCCCCTACCGTTATTTGATTTCCGTTACATATCCTACAGTTTTTTTTTAAAAAAAGAATCATGTTTGAAATTACTTCAAATCGCTTGCCCCTCACCCCTGTAGGTTCTACCAGAGATTTAAAATTCTTTCATGTGAGGAAGCTATCCAGCTAGCTTTCGGATTTTCAGTGGTGCTGCTTCGTGCCAAGATTAAAGAATGGAAAGGTATCCGAGGTCTCCCCCAACCAGTAAAGTAAGACAATCGGCACATGATCATTACAGAGTCGACTTGACTTATTATCACTGAGTATAATGAGACCAACATTTCCTGCTTAATAACTTCTTAACAAATTTTATTGTCGTTATCAGTTGCAATGAATAAAATCCAGTTGAAAATAAGGCACACTAAATGATATTTGACAATTAATTGATTTTTTTAGTGCGATTTTGAGTTATTGCGAACCTTTTTTAACGAGGTTTAATAAAAACAGAACAGTCCATGCTCTTTATAAATCAACAGCCAAGTACATGTATATGTATATAGATTTTATAAACATATTGACTTGACTAAAAGGTCATTTTCCATTTCTGCTTTCAAGAGTTGTTTGTTATTTACTTTGTAATTAATTTAGGGATTCGATTCATACTTGGACACAAAAACTCTTATAGCTAACCCAACATCTTTATTTATCAAATTCTGTACACAACAATAATTCTTCAATACAATTTTATTTTGTGCTAGCCTATGAAAATAAAAAAAAAATTAAACGAGCGGCGTTGGCTCGTGAAAGAAAGAAAAACTTTAGCGAAGCATATGACATCAATGTGCCTTGACATTTATTTGAAAACAATAATATAAGGATGTCCAACATTTTTTCATTATAATAAATTGAATATCGGTTTTAATATTGTATCAATATTCTATCATATTTGATCTTTGATAAGCCTTATAAGTGGTACAAAGCTTAATATATTGTGCTTAATAAATTGTGCGAGTAAAAAAATCAAAGATGATCAAAGAAATAGAAGTATTTACTTTACAAGCCACTTCAGACAATTTTGGTTGTAAATTAACTCATAAATTCAAACAGTTTGCACTTTTTCCAAAGTTATTTCAACCATACAATAGTAAATAAAATCGTTTTGAGCGGTAGACTAGTGGTATAAGCAATGTTTCTTCTCAAAGCAAAAGTTGTGCTTAGTCTCAGACAGCTGACTAGAAAGAGTGTTTTTCACAGATTAAAGGTTTTCGCAAACAAGCACTATTAAGTATATATACATGATATAAGGGATAATACGACATACCGTATAATATGAATTTAACAAAGCATATTAATAAACATGTAAAAAATAAAATATTTTTTGCATCTTTCATCCGGTTTTGTTCAATCCCTCCCAATTTAAGTGTAACGTTTGTGTAACTTGTATTGTCAAAGTAAAAATCAACTTGATCGTCATCAAAAATTTTTACAAAATAAAGATTTAAATGATTGATATAAATTATTTAGCTTTGTATAACAGAATATAACCCTGTACATAAGAAACAATTAATTTATTTTCAATACTCATTTAGTGAAACATACATGTAGTTGTTTGAAAAAATGTTTTAAAAAAGCCTGCTCATGTTTTTTACGTATTTTTATCAACACTTATTCATTATCTGTATCACTGCTCATAAAAGATTCGTACCCAGAGCTTGAAACAAAAATGCTACAATATTCATCACTAGAGTGTCTAGAATGTACTTTCATTTTGTTTCTTATGTATTCTGTTATCGTTATGAAAACTTTTCGTTTAATTTTCCTTTGAGCCATATCTTTGTGTTTATGAAAGCACATCATTTTTACAATTTTCGGTAATGCACATACAAATAAAACAGTAAACACGTGCGTCACGAGGGATAGCTCTTTCAACTTGTCAAATGTCACGAGTAACTGAACAGATATTATCAACACAATTATCACCGATGTCAGTTTTAACATCGTAATCAATAGTTGATTTCTTCTTGGCAAATTTCTGCGGATGATCAAATCAAAAAGGTCGCTCTTAATGCCATATTTAGTTTGTATGCTTTTAAGTTTGTTTTGATCCATTTCAGCATCATCACCATACTTCTGTTGAAACTTTTCGCAAGCTTTTAAGCTTACCTTTAAAAGTTCTCTATAACTCTCTCCAAATGCATTGATACTCTCTGCCACATAAAACAAAGTCATAAAGACAAGAACAAGATATCCGTAAGATAATTGTGGATACGCAACGATGCCACTGTACGTTAACATGACAATTCTACACAAAAACCAAAACCCATCAAAGAATATCAAGCAATACGTATACCAGGAAATTGAAAATAAGATCAGCATGGGTATGAAGAAAATATGTTTACAACATTTCACTACAAAACCTCTACGATGGAAACACTCAAAATAGTGAATACAAAAAGAATTCAAAACAATGAAAAAACAGTTGACTACTGGAAAGAGATAATAAAGAACGGCTAGCAATAACTCAGTGACACAGAACATGATGTATAAAGGCAACAGGAGTGCACTTAACATAATGGCAATAAACAAGTTTTGCAATCTATTGTACATCATTGAAAAGATGATATTTTTCCACCTTAAATAGAATAACTTTAATGATTGCTTCCAAAACCGTGAATGAATTAACATAAATATCTGGGCTAGAAGGAGTCGGTGAAGTTTTTTGCATCCTTTCAGATGTCTGACATTTATTCCTGACAAATTTTCTTTAAGCTTAATTGGCATTCTGGTCAAAAATACAAATTTCTTGACGCGTTTTGTGATACCAATAGCAAGAAAATCTTCTAAATTTGAGGGAAACACAATCAAAAGACACCCAAATGAAACACAAATTGAGAAAGTAACAACTGGGCCACCGAATACATACATAAATTTTTTTCTTGCTTCGCTTACCCCAGCTAAGAGTGCACTGTATCCTAGGAGAGCTCCTTTTTGTACCGCAGATTTCGTAAAATCATAAGCATATATATAATCTAATAAGACATGAGTAGCTGTTAAACACATGGGGATAATTATTATCCAAATTCTAAGGGTACGTGAACCTTTTGACCCGCCGTAGAAGAAGGTAAATAAAGGTGAAAATAATGTTGAAAATACTGATACTGGATTTGTCGATTCTAAATTCAAATAGTCTAATTTGTTTAACCTGTTACTGCTTTCAGAAATAGAGTCGGGCGTGACTGCATTCAATGATATACGTCTTTCCTTCTTTATTGTTTTTGATAATTTCTTCACTTTTATTCCAATTTGTGTCAACAACAATGGATAGAAGGCAAAACAAACATTTCCTGCTATAATGGGTAGGATCCACCAGAGTGCTCCATAATGATAATGTTCATTGTGACACTGAATTATACGGGTCTTTTTTATATAATCAAAAGTAAATTTGCAGCATTCATATTCAATTGTTTGGAATGTGCATATTGAATTTTTGCATAATTCATATAAAAATTTTGAGTGTATCCAAATACGTTTATTGTAACACCAAAGGCTAGAGTTATATATTTCATATTTTGAAGCTATTTCTGATGTCATGTTGCCTAATGCCTGACCGATAAGATAATCTGTGTCTTTATTGCCTATTGTGAGGTTCTTACATTCTCCAGACTTTTCGATATCAATAGCAATCCTTTCTTTCTTTGTATGCGCCCAAAGTAATCCAAAAGACATGTAACCAAAATCTTCTGGTATGTAAAGATATTGATGTGCTCCCCTTTCTCCTTCGTATGTCCAAATCCAATTAGTTTTTGCAAAAACATTTTGTGTAGCATTAACACTAAAGTTCACAAACTTTAATTTTAAATAAACGAAATTGTACCGATGTTTCAGAATATTGTATGTAAAGTCGGCCTGTGATACGTTATTCACCGTCAAACTACATTCTTCGTTTTTGAAAATGATACTGTTATTCAAGTTTGTGTCGTTTGACCTGGGGTTAATCATCCGTGGTAAAAATGATTGAGCTTCAATCGCACAACACAATGAAAAAACTACAATAGCAAAAATAGTTTTTGTTTTGCTTGACATATCTGTAATCTGCATGTAATCGTGTTTTGTAATTTGCTCCGTCTGTAAGGAAAATTTCGAAAACATAAATTGAGCAGTTGTATTATACTGACAATATATTAAATTGCACACATAATGAAATAGAGTAAAACAGAATCTTTTTTTGCATCTTTCATCCGTTTTTGTTCAACCCCTCCCAATTCAAGTGAGACATTTGTGTAACTTGTATTGTCAAAGTAAAAATCAACTTGATCAATGATCGTCATCAAAAACTGTTCAAAATAAAGATTTTAATGATATAATTTCTTTAGCATTGTAAATAGAATACACGTACATTTCAATTTCTGATTTACAAGTTTTAATAAGTAAAATGTGCTTACCTGCGTTCGTTTAATTCTATCAATTAAATCTTAATTATTCGAACGATTTATAAAAAAAATGTCATACTTCCTCGTACTAAAAAACTTGTAGTGAAAGAATTGTTGTAATTAATTTGTTCAAATTGATCAATCAAAAGATAAAGTGAAATCACCAGGAAGTTATGTGTACTTCCTTTATCAAGATCTCACGCTGTTAAATGTTATTTTTTATTATCTTTCGAGCTTTCTTGTCGTGTTATTCAAGATGAGTGTTATTTATTTCAGTATGTCGGATAAAGTTTTGTTATATAAAGCAATAATGTACAAAATGCCGAGCAGTATTTGAAGTGCGAATAAATGAATTAACCTTTAACATAGAGAGACATAATCAATCCAGATTATGAGACAAAATGCATAATAATGTAGTACTTATCGAATGAGAAATTACATGCATTTTAGCTAGTGTTATGGTTAAAATCGTATAACGTTGAAACAATAACTATATCCTGAAGAAATTAATAAGGCCAAGAAAAGAAAACGCATGTTATAATTCATATTAAGGTGTTTCCTTTCGTTCTTCAGCTTTTTTAAACATGGTGTTAATGATGTTAAAAAAAATAACTATAGTAAGACTTGTGCTGAAAAGATACGGTTCGAATAAAATAGTGAAAAGAGGTAATCGCTCAAAAGTAATTGCAATACAAGTAATGCTAGAAGAAATACAAGTAAAAGGTTCTACATATTATAAAGCCTAAGTAGGGGTACAGCAGCAATAAAATTCGGGTTAAAAGATAAACCATTTCTCGATTCTTGTAATTGCTTCCTTTAATAACCTGTTCCATTCTTAAATCAGCGAATTAATTGACTCGTCTTTGTACTAGAATTTCATAACCTGTCTTTTTTCCGTTTCTTGTTGCTTTTTATTTTATTTCTCGTTGAAGCGTTAACTACAGGAGTGTTTACAAAACTTGATATTGAGTTTTATCAGAACCATACTTGTAAAAGTTTGGAAAAGGTTGTGATCTCGCGGAAGCAGTGAAAACATCGATGTTACGTGCAAATTGCAGACCCGTTTTGATTGAGTCTGTTCAAGGTAATAATGAGAAAGTGCAACATCTCTAAACATAAACTAGAAATGTGTCGTCACGCCAAGGATGCTCCCCCATGCAGCCAAAATTTCAGATGTTATAATATTTAGTTCCAACATTTTGCACAAACTATTTTTTTTTAATTCAAAGGCCTTAAAGCTATTCAATGTTAAAAAACAAAACATTTTTATACAAAGTTCGAGTTAATCTTTTGTAAATTGAATATTACATATTTGAAGCCAAAATAATGACTACATACATTTCCACAAAAGTATGAGTGCTGAAAATTAAAATTCAAAGTTTTTTTACAACGTTCAAGAGAGATAACTTTGTCCAAAATCATTAAACCACGACCAAATTCAAACTTGAACTGCTTGATGTATATATATGTCAAATTTGAGTTGAATGTGTACAACCATAAGGGAGATAATGAACGGAAACTGAAAATTTCTTTTTTTTTCAAAGTTCAAGAGGGATAACTCTTTCAGCTATCATCGAACCATAACCAAATTCGAACTTGACCAGTGTATTCTAATGAAAGATCCATTTGAATATGTACAACTGTTGGAAAGATAATAAACGGAAACTGAAAATTTTATTTTTTCAAAGTTAAAGGAGCATAACTCTGCCAAAAATCATCGAACAATGACCAAATTCGAACTTGATCTTCACACTCATTTGACGTATCCATATGTCAAATTTGAGTTTAATGTATAATACCCTTGGGGAGATAATGAACGGAAACTGAAACTTTCATATTATTTTTAAAGTGAAAGGAGCATAACTCTGCCAAAAATCATTGAACCATGACCACATTCGAACTTGACCTGCCCATTCCTTTGACGTATCCATATTTGAAATTTGAATTGAATGTGTAATACCATTGGGGAGATAATGATCGGAAACTGAAAATTTCATCGAAGGGTATAACTTTGTCAAAAATCATCGGACCATAACCAATTTGAACTTGGCCTGTATTTTCTCATGATATATCCATATGTCAAATTTGAGTTGAATGAGTGCAACCGTTACTAAGATAATGAACGGAAACTGATGAGGACAGAATGACAGAATGACGGAAGAACGGAATGACGGAACAGGATAACAATATATGCCCCAGACATTTTATGGCGGCGGCATAAAAACGTATGATGATTTGTTTTGCAACAATACTTTTTCTGAAATTTCGTTTTCTTTTGGCAAAGAATAAATAGATAAATCATACGTGAACAAGTGATTTTAGAAGGCGGAGCAAATTTATATAAATCAAGAACCGGTTGAACCGGGTGATGCTCCCCGGGAAGGTTTTGGACACAGGAAAGTGTAAAAAAATGAACAAAGGGCAAAAACTCAAAAATAAGGCAAGGCAGAATTACGGTTCTTGTGCATTGCACACCTACTCAGTGAGATTTATCTACCTACAAAGTTTCATGTTGATACCTCTTGTTTCAAGGTTATAACCAGGACAAAAAAAGCGGACGGACGGACAGACGAACAAAGTGGCGAGCGACTATGGAATGGAATGGCACAACAGTGTCATATTGAAGGTTTCATGATAACCGCGCGGATGTTTCTAAATTCAAAATTTCACCAATTTCGTGTTAAATGTTGAATTCTGCTTAAGCCGGTGCTAGGGGGCGTGGACGGTAGCTTGCACTTTCCAGTACCGTCCATGAACAGGCTCAATCAAACCGAGCCTGCAACATTTTCAATTTTGTTGTGTTGGACTTTGTTTAGGGATTCTGTTTTTCTCTTTTTTAAGTTTTTTTTTGCACTGCACTTCTATTCAATGAGATCTATTAATATATAAAGTTTCGTGATGATATCTCTTATAGTTTCAGAGTTGTGTCCCGGGTAAAATTCAAGGTGAAGAAAAGGACCAAAGGGCAATAACTCCAAAATAAAACAACGCTGTGTTTAGCTTCTTTAACATTTCAGTTCTATCCAGTGATATCTATCTACCTACAAAATTTCATGTTGATATCTCTAATAGTTATGTCACGGACAAAATTCAAAAAGTAAAAATAAACAAAGGGCAAAAACTCAAAATCAGGTAAGGGAGAGTTATGGTTCTTTAGTACTGCACTTCTACCCAATTAGACCTATCTACCTACAAAGTTTCATGTTGATATATCTTATAATTTTAGAGTAATGTCGCGGACAAAGTTCAAAGTTTCAAAATGAACAAAGGAAAATAACTCCAAAATTAGGCAAGAGAGAGTTATGGTTCTTTAACAATGCACTTTTACGCAATGAGATCTATCTACCTACAACGTTTCATGTTAATATCTCTTATACTTTTAAAATTATGTCCCGGACAAAGTTCAAAGTGTAAACATGAACAAAGGGCAATAATTAAAAAATAGGCAAGACAGAGTTACGGTTCTTGTGCACTGCACACATACTCCATGAGATCTATCTACCTATAAAGTTGCATGTTGATACCTCTTATAGTTTTAGAGGTAGGTCCCGGACAAAGTTCAAAGTGTAAAAATAAACAAAGGGCAATAATTCAAAAATTAGGCAAGGCAGAGTTACGGTTCTTATGCATTGCACACCTACTCAATGAAATCTATCTAACTATAAAGTTTCATGTTGATACCTCTTGTTGTTTCAAACTTATAACCCGGACAAGAAAAACGGACGGACAGACGAACAAAGCGGCGACTATATGCTCACCCTTCGGGGAGCATAATAAAATCGTCCTGTTTCGGGAGATCAGCGTCGATGTGCGCTTCATTATTAAAATATTTTATAAATAACGGATTTGATTGTCTTTTTACTTCCGCACCGATGTGCATTTATGTTAACACCTGACATACATATAAACTCACGTTGTGAATTAAAAAAAAAACTTCCTTGCCAGAGGCCAACACTTAGAAAAACTTGGTTTATGTAGACAAGTAAGTATACCATAGTGTTAATGCACAGCATATTGCCAATAATCACTCACCGAGAGAAAATTTAATATTTTTGTCAAACAATTCAATCGCAGACACTTTGGAGTTTAGAAAGTAACCGTACAAAGACACAGTTTTCAACAAAGAGTGGATGGGGAGATGAGAAAACAAACATTATACACTTTTTACAGAAATTTAATAAAAAGAAATTTCATGGTATATGTGTCATTAATGTTCTTTTCATTTAGTGTAATACTTTTTCAGTTTTGAATTACAAAATAAATGGTAAAAAAACATCAAAACACTAGATCGATTAGATATTTGTAAAGTTGTATTGTTTATGTGCGTAAGATAACAGACATTATTCACTTAAACACACTCCAAATGAACGTGAAAATGAAATACATAAAGACACGTTGGTGTATTTGTATTTTAATGTACTTTTGATAGTGAGCTTCACATTGATAGAACCGACTGTGCCATAATTAAAGAACCAGGCCTGCCTACACATCCGTGCAGTCTGACAAGGTTCTGCACTGTTGGTGGCTCCTTTTTGTCATATTTGAAATTGAAATACGTCAATGTTTTAAAGAACTGCTCGTAATTAAACGCAGACCAAGGACCTTTAGCATAAATTCAGCAGGTTACGGGTTAAGTTTATTTTTTCATAACTACTGCCGTACAGCAATCAATCGAATTTTTCGATTTTGTAATTTTATTGTCTCATAGTTAACTCTTTTATTAAATATATGTATATTGACACCAACACTTGAACAGTTTAGAATATATCAGAATATTTTCGCTCGATTGCACTTCTTTTCTTCACATGTGATGTCCTATTCAATATCAATAAGCAGGTTGTATGGTGTACCAATATATATGTATACTATTCATTTAACTTTTATGAATTCATTAGGCCTTAATTAAGCGTGAATTTACTTGAGATTCTGATGATATACTGCTGTAATATCAGATACGAAGGAATTGTTTAATAAATTCTTCAGAAACGACATTTGTTTGTACGAAAAGTGTTTGCACGAAACATTTAGTTTTATTTCGATGTACTTTTGAAATTAAAAAAAAATGTGAAATAAATATTTTATTTTGTAACATTTAACGTAACGTAGTACCATCTGTAAGAGTGACGATTGACGATTGGTTAAGCTAGACTATATTAGCTGTGAGAGAATGCCAAGAAAACGAGTCCTGTTGTTGTATGTTAGACATTCACCAAACTAAGTAAACATGACAAATTGCGTGGCCGACTCTTTCAAGAAGCTTTTCTTCTGATAATTATGATTATAAATTTTCATATTGGTCTAATAGAATGCCTATAAGGAAAGTACAATTACTTTAACGGTTGCTACAATCAAAGATGTTCACAATCAATATAGATTCAAACATACAAAGTCCTTTGTAAGATATGCCATTTATTTATTCGTCACTTTACTTTAAGATTTCCTATGTACAGATATGTCATTTCGCTCTAAGATTTATTCTTCAATATATATTTTCGCTTGTTAACAGAAACAGAGATAATGTAAAACGAATGTATAAATTTGACATACAAAAGAAAAATAAAGTCTGTTTCGGTACACTTATGATTGAAAATATGTCTGACAACAATTTGTTATTTAAATATGTCCAATGATGTACAATTTTAAACAAATCCGACTAAATGTCAACAGGTTGGTTTTTTGTACTTTCGGTTTCTACAACCATAAAAATAAATATTGAAATAATGTATTGTTTGCTTTTGAAACTATGAATTCACTTGTTTAAGGTGGACTTTTACAACAAATATTTGAAATAAACTTTTCCACAACTTCCAGCATTTAATTACTATTTGTTTACATAATTAGTTTCTTAGCGTATGTTAGACCGAAATACCGCATCCGTTCTGTGTATTCATACTATTGTGTTCGAGGTCCTAATCCGAAGACTGACGGAAAGGGCCGAGTAGTTGCGATTGGGATACACGCTGTTGGTTTAGACAAATTTACTGAAGTTCGATTATAAGGACAGCTTTTACGTTGATTTGAACCACTTTGAGTTCGCGTCCTTGAACAGTGTTACATTTAATTAAATGTATGCTCTTTTAGTTTGATTTGTGACACAAACGTTAGTGTGTCATAGACGGAGCGGTTCCCTGCTCTCTCTGTGTTTGTGCCGTGTATGTGTATATGTGTAGGTTTCTATAAACGACTTTTATGTAGGTGTGCTTTATTTACATGGATTTGCATCAGGATATCTACTTTTTTTTCTTCGGACAAAAACATAAAATATAAAAAAAAAATTTCAGTGGTATAAGGTTTTAATATTGAGGAAAATAGCTTTGGGAAAAATTGTGAAAGAAAAAAATGGAAAAGTTGACAAGATAATAGTGTGTGCATTTTGTTTATAATAACATTTCACAAATATAATTATATCTATTGCCATGGCAAGATTTATCATTCCATTGATAATTTCTTTCAGAAATGTGTGAAGATAACATTACTACGCAAGCAGTTGTGTGACCATTATTGTAGTCGTTCGGCTGCCCAGTTTCCCAGTCCGTTTCTGACTTGATCAAAGGGTTATGGTTTACCCATGAGAAATGGTGAGTGCCATCATAAACTCTTGCTCCAATCCAGTAACCACTGTGGTCATAATCTGCAAAATGGGACTTTGTTTTTGTATAATATATTATTGAAACGTTTAATTCCCTCCGAATAAAGTATGAAAATCCTAAATTTGAAATCAAAATGAAAACCTAGTCCTTGCACGAAATAAAAACAAACAAACGGACAAAAACGTTCTAAAGTTAAAAGAAAAGGCGTCGCTGATATGAAGAATGTCATTAAAATCCTGACATAAATGTGATAAAAATTAATGATTCAATTTAAATATCTGCCTTAAAAAGAACAAAAGTGTACACTTTATTGCCAAATATTTTAGTGTTAATATAATAATCCTACTATATGAATTATTTACGTACGCCGATGACTTGCAATATAATGCCTCAACAGCACGGCTTTCGCGTGCGTATCGAGCACTACCAGATCGTCCCCCGTGTTCCTGCATGTTGAGCGTGCATCTCTCCACAGTTCATGTTCTAGGACAATACGGACACATAACTCTGCCTTTGAGTTATTTAGATATATATATCCGCTATTAGTATTACAAGTCCTGGGTCTGTTGGTGCTGGAGCCATGGTGATGACTAGTCGCTTTAACAGTTACTGTTGTTTTCATAGCTACTGCGCAATAGGTTTAATAAAACAAAATTTTAATAATAAACATGTTTAAGTTTCATGTTAAACAATAACAATAATTCTTAAACTCAACTTTGAAGTAGGAAAAAATGGATATAGGGCACAAAATTCCATATGTTGTAGAAATATACAGAAAATTACTTTTATTGCGTAACACCGTTCTGGCATCGAAAACAGAAGTGATGCACCAAACATTCTGCGTACTTATATGATAGAAAAAGTTATATGTAGCATGTTGCTATTATAATAATAATTAGTCGAGTACAATTTAGGCAAGAGAGCACCTGTTGTTTGTGACGTCATCGGTGTAGTCACAGTTGTTGAAATTCCTGCAGTTGATGACGATGGTGACCAGCTGGTGTTTGTATTATTTAACACAGAAACACTACAACGCTTGTTACAGAAATCTGTGTCACAACAAGTTGTTGGACATTTGTCATGACTCATCAAAACAGACATTGAATTACATTCCTGGGGACATGAAAATGCATGTCGTTATTAGAACACTTTAATGATATAAGTAAAAAGATAAAAGGCTTATAATTGGAAAGGTAACATATAATATCATCTTTATCTGAAGAAATAGATTTACATACATACTGATTTCTTTTCCGGCATTTAGAAGAAATCTTGTATTGCTCTATTGGTGACGTTACAAAACCTTGAAGCTATATGCGCTAGCATATTCTAAAGGAAACGGATTTTCTGCATGCGTTTACAGAAGGTAGAAAACATTAATGTCCACGTCTGATGTATTGTATAATAGTAACAGTATATAAGTAGAACATTTTTCTAATGCTGGAGATCAGAGACAGCATTTGTTGACGCAATTTTTATTATTATTCCATCTTCTGTTTTCCTTACATTCTTTTTTAATAAGAAATAAAACAAATATAGGTAAATTCTAATAAAAGAAACATCCAATGTTTGTTGCATTTTTGACAGTTTATTGTTGGCAGTCGGATTAGTAGTTTCATTTTCTTCAATTAAATCTTATAGGATCAACACTTTTTATACGAAGCTTAAAAAGGAAAGTCAATGGATGATATGGAAGTCACAGGTTGCAAATAGAGGATAAATGTTGTTATGGAAGTCACCGGTTGCTTTAAAAGTCAATAATGTTATGAAAATTACTATTTTCTTTCACTGGTTGATGGGAGGCGTCATTGGTTGTCATAAAATCAATAGTGGCTTATCAAGTTTTGACCCGAGAGCAATAATTTAAACAAATTTGTTAGCTGTCCATCAAACAATATTTCGTACAAAGTATATAAGTTCTAACCTTCCCTATTATACCTACAAACAGATTTATATCCAAGGGATGGGATGAGTTTGAACAAGTGGGCTATGATAACAAACTTAGTACAGTTCTATATGTCAATGTTTCATGCTAAACATCTAAGATATAGTCTTTGTGAGCTCAGAAGAGAGGTCTTGAAAGTTTTAACTTTATAATTATGTATATTTTGAAAATAATTATTACCAAGAATAAACTTGGTAAAGCTTCATTCAAGAACAATTTCTGACAAGTCTCATCAACTTTCGCATTGTGTTTTCAGAAGAGGTGCAATTTGTATAAATTTTGACGACGGCTTGAGACAGACGACGGGCAGCAATCGATCCTTTTTGTTCAGCATGTTGATGTTGGAAGATGAGCTAAAATAGGCTATTTCGTATAGTGACTTAGACATCTTACCTTTTGTGTTGTACATTGACTTCTATATATCTTTGGTAGGCCAATTGTCCGTACTTCAGAATACAGCATGCACAACTGAAATCAATTTCAAAACTTAAAGAAAAAGTCACTTACAGAAAAATGTTAGCTTGTTTGTTTGTTTGTTTCTTTGATTGATTTTACGCCTTTTCCCAACAGTATTTCAGTCATATATGCGGGTAGTTTGCCAACCATCGTTCCTGGAGAGTTGACACCCAGTACTAGACTACCTTCCTCCGCGCTAAACTACGAAAGCATCTCCCGGGCATCGAACCCACGCCAGAGATAAAATTAGTTACTTC